GAAAAAAGTTATAGACCAAGTCTTTGATTGTCAACTCGAACTAGAAAAGACCGAGCAAGGCATGGTGGAGCTAAAAGCTACTAAGTGTTGGGAGTTCTTAGTCAGCAAACACGGATGCTTGACAAGGTGATTAGATATTGCCAACAATAGATCTGTCAAACAGGTTGGTCGGGTTGAGTTGAAAATGGTTCGATTCAAATTGACCCATTTTCATGCAATACAAATCTAGTGACCCATACCCAACTCATACCCGATTCGAACCATATTATTAAAATATTTTTATATTTAAGACAACATGCAAAAACTCAAACCCAAACTAAGGTGAGAGGACAGAGTGAACGAACTTGAAATCGAGTGAGGGAGAGAGAGAGAGTCATAGAGGTGAGTTGGGTTCAAGTAAGTTGTGAACCCATTTACCTTACCATTTTAAATTCATTTATGATCCATTTACTAAATATAACAAACTCATTTATGATTCATTCACTTGAAAGAGTCAATGTGGTTGTTAGGTTGACATGATTCCAAGGTAGTGGAGCCGTAAATCTTGAAAGCCACTAACTATAGAGGCCAAGAAACGTGGGCTTTTATAATTGTCAGGAAGAGGTGTTGTAAGTTGCAGAAGAAACCGTTAACATGGGGCGAGTAATGAAACCATGATCTTCGACCAAAAAAAAATAAAATTGAAACCATGATCGTCGACAGTGGATCTTTGGTAACCGTTTCTAGATACATGTTGAATTCTAATAGTCACGTAAAATGTTATTTGCTTTCCTTAAAATTGCTGATAATCGTACGTCGCTAGTAGCTTTAAATATTGAAATTGTAATTTGAGCAAGTGACAGTTTATCGAGCAGTGAACACTAGTTGTTTAATTTTGTCCTGTTATTTTACCTTTTAGTGCCTTTTTACATGACTGATCACAATTGCCTTCAATTTTCGTACATTTAATTTTTTCGTCAATATGCATTTCCTATTCAAGAATTGACAAATGACCCTTCATATGCTTTGTCGATTTCCATCTCAATCCATATTTTGAAAGGTGCTTTGTTGACGCTTTTCGGCGAAACAATCACCCATAAACTGATTTCCACAAAACAAACTCTGTTCTTGGGTTGAATTAGAAGATGTCAGCTGGGGCGGGCTGGTTCCAAATGTAACTAGTTCAATTTTGGGTTCCGATTCTTTGGAACTACAAGGTCAATTCTATGTTCTGCCTTTGGAACCGATCACTCTCACTCGTGCATATAAAATCACTACATAAGATCGTCTTAAGCTAATATTCGATGGTAAGGTGTAAATATTTAAAGCAAAAAATATTTTTTTCCCACAAAATGGAATTTGCAAGCTCGAAAGTTGCATGTATTAGCATCTGCAAGTTAATTAATAATGTGTTTGATCAATAGAGAATGAGATTATCACAGATCATAAAAAAAAAAAGTTCCAAAAAATAAAAAAATCAAGAGTGAGAAAATGCAAAGAAAAGTGGAAGATTGAGAGACTCGTGAATTAAAGAAGATGCGTGAAGTACTACTAGACCCAGCCCCTTTAAAATATTGATACGAACAAGAGCCCAAAGGGCCCAAAACAAGTGAGGTAGTCTTCGTCTTCCTTGGCTAGCGTTTCGAATCAGTTTCCTCCATTACTATCGACTGCTTCTCCGTTCGGCAGCGACCACGAAGTCACATTCCTCGGTGAAGAAGATGTGCGAGTTCTGCAAGACGGTTGTACGTCGTTTGCAAGGCCAATCCTAAGCACAAGCAGTGAGAGGGGATGGTGATGTTCGCCGGTGAAGGCCAGCTCCCTCCTGCGAACGGCTTCTCTCGAACCCTACAAGATTTGCGATTTTTTGTGTGGTTGGTGCTTTGAAATTAGTCTGCAATGTTGTGGGAGCTGCATAACTACATGCGATAAAACCCTATGATCGCACGATGGCGTTTTTACAGCTATATAGTTACAAATAGGTGCCAAATATTTTCACTCGGATAACAAAGACCTAGAGCGTGTAAGATCGACCAATGTAGACAGCCCCTAGTTAACGTTAGCATAAGAATTGCATCCTCGGTACAAGAATTTAAGATTTGAGTGTCATAACAGCTGCGTGCGAGGTATCGATCTCAAGAGAGGCTATCAAGAGTCTAAAACTTGAGATGAGTAAGCCCGCAACTCCGCCAAGATTCTCGCAGAATAAAAATCTGCTCAACGGCATGCGGTCATGAGTACCACTGTCCCAAGTAAACTCCCGATCATGGACCTAACGACTTGTTGGGCGTGCCCATGCCAAAAGCATAATTTGGCAGGACTTAGTTAACCAATTTCCTTTGTAAACCAGTGCATGAAACCGAGGGTTGGTTAGGCTTGTCCGGACGCGATCATTTTGAGAAGAAAAATTAGTACATTGAATTGGTGGATGGATTTGGACAAGGTCTCTTAGGTGCTAACGTCGACTCGACCATCCGAGATCTACAGCTAGGTCTGCCATCAATTAGGACTAGTCGTAAACAAGTTCGAGTTTGCAATCACTTAAAAAGGGGAAAGAAGAACGATCCTCCACCTTGATCCACTGCCTCAATCACCTAGGGAAATAAGCTTTAGGCTTACTTAGTAGTCACTTAAAGGTAGTGAACATCTCATTCATGCATGGTAATGTCTAGATTGACTACTTGCAAGTACCCGTTTACGTTTAAAATACCGACTTCGAGAGCTTTCGAGAATAAAAACACTAGAAACCTAGGTTTTCCATTCTTCTTTCTTACTTGAATACTCAAGCTCAACAACTATCGACTAAAACATGTAATTTGATGCGGGATCGTTCAAGTTCTACTCCCTAACCAACAATTGGTTTAATCTAGTAAACCAATCAAGGGTGTAATTTGTCGTTTCTTTAAGAGAGAACAACAGGAACCTGTAAAATACTTTCTGTGGACACTTGTCGAGCATGTGTTGGTGACAAGTGAAAGAAGCAAACACCTTAATCGAACAGCATGGCCAGTTGAGAGAAACTGCTGGGGAATCACTGCATTGATTCTAACATCAGAATCCACACGCATTTACCTGTAAGTGCTGTCGCTTTTAATTTCTTTTGTCACGTTCTAACATCATGGGTCATCACCAGTATGTTGCTTGTGGGTCTCGTTCGAGTCTTTTTAATCTCCTGTCTTGTTGGTTTTAATGTTATTACATCTTTGTTGGAGTGGAAACCTCTAAATGTGTAGGGACCGTTCAATTATGCGGGGTTGACCCACTATATGCAAGAAAAGATATGGCCTTCTATTGCCTCGTTAACAATTCGACCATCAAATTGATATTGTGAATGTCTTGAGTTATGACCAAATATCTGAGCGATGATCGAAGCCTGGAGTTAAGGTTAAGGTCAAGGTGGATTTTTTCACGAGGTGCCAGAAGTGCGCCAAGAGGGTTGGGCCCTTGGCATGAAAGACCGAGCTAGCCCCAACCTAGGAAAAGGGTTTGGCATCCGGTCACATAGTCCCGGGCTGCCGATCACAGGCTTCGAATGGCTTGTGGCTACTGGGCATATGCCGAGCACCCAAACACAAAAGGGCCAGACGCCAAGGCGGCAAGTGGGCGCTCGGCCAGGTGTTTGCATTTTGTCTAGGCACGCTGGGCATGAAGTGAGCGCCCGGCTAGACCTGGAAAGTGCCATAAAATCAGCCCGACTCACATTTTAAAAGCCTGTTTGAAGGGACCCTACGGCGTTACATGTTAGAGTCCATCGAGAATGTTATTAGACTCTCTTTATGAGTTTTGATACAAAAACACTGTGAGAGATTATGTAAAACATTAGGTGATCATTAATTAAGTGTAACTGGGGTTTGGGATTGGAAGACACATCAATTCAAACTTGTACTCTTTCAGCCGCACTAAATTACTTCCGCTCTCTTCATGGATGTATATCTTAACTCCGGATCGAAACACGGAAATCCTAATGTATTGTGTCTCTATTTCTTGTATGTTTCTCTATTAATCTTGCGATTGTGGTGGATGACTTGATCCTATTCCAAACAATTGAAATAATTAAACTATCGCTCATCGACATTAATGGAAAATTAAAACAACTTTCCCTTTAAGAAAAGAGCCGGAGCGAAATTTGCCAAAACAAAACTGTCATGATGTTGCTGAGTGGAAAATGACACATGCGTGCACAATTTTCCAGTCAATAATCTACACATCAATAAAGGTTACGTGACATCTCTAGATCTCATCTCATAGATGCTTTCCTAGATCCACTTTCTCTATAACCTCAGCCACTTTATCCAAATTTTTAACCAAAAGAAAATTTGACTTTCTGTAAAATGGGGGGAAAGCCCTTGGTTTTCTTGCTGATGCAGGTGGTCCACGCTCCCCACTTAGTATTCTGTACTTCTTCAGTTATTAATTAATAAAAGAGCCAATGCTTTTGTTCGACTCTAGTCCTCAAGTGATTCAAGTTTATAAGTAGAATTCAGCTAACAATGTTGCCATTCCTATCTCATCCTTATAGAGATGTGTTTGTTCAAAGGATCATACTAAAGAATGAAGATTCCTACTAACAATAAAATAGTATCTTAACATGCTACTTCCGGTTAATCCAAGTTGATTTCAAGTTCAAACTATACTAAAACAAAAGTGATGAAAAAAAAAGGACGTAACCCCAATGAACGATAATCAAGTTGGTGACATCTTTCGGTGTTTTCACGGAAAGATTAGTATTTTTTTAATCAGTATGTGTTTGTGCTCTTTGTATACCTGAAAGATGAACTGACAATGCCTAGGGGTGAGCGGTTCCAGGTTCGGCCTGGAATATAGAACCTACCCTCGGGTACAGGTTCCTCATTTTTTGGAACCTAGAACCTACCCGTCCGAACGTGGAACCTAGCACCTACCCTGTCACAGGTTCCAGGGTTAGTTCCAGGTTCCAACAGGTTCTTTTTTTTTTTTTTTGGGTGGTGACACAGATAATTCGAATCCTTCTCGCCTCATATACTCTATCAAGATACCTCCTCTAAACAGAAAAAAGAAAGATTAACTGGATCTTTCAAATTAGTTTTGCCCAAGAATCATAATCCACAGTTGCATATGTCCAAACATTTCTGAACACTATCTGAAAATAATATTCCAAAGCTAGAAGGTTGAAAAGAAATCATTAAAAAATAATTGGGAACAAACCTAATTGGAGTTCTCCTGTTCCTTGAACTTCAAACGACTCTGATAACCCCAGAAGCACATTTATTGCAAGATTTGTTTCTGCTTCAGCCATAAGCCGGTCCCCAATTCTTCCACCAGTCAACTACGAAAAAGCATAATCATCTAGTTAACGTTCAAAAATGCAAGGGTGTAAAATCTGGATAATCAACATCTAGCCCATAACTTAGAGAGTCCTGAAGAGGCTATCACCATAATATAACTATACACAAGAAAATGAGACAACAAAGTCCTCAAAGGGGAAAAGAAGCATCTACAGCCTCACCTTCCACTTCACAAAGAAACATGTATGACAGTTCACACAAAGAACAAGATATAAAGCATCTTTTTTTAAAAAGCAGCTTAACTTCTCTAGTCACCCCAGGTAGTACTTAACATTGTGGCAATCTCTGCATGACATCGTGTCGTATTAGAGTTGATCTATTCAAGCCACACATGGATATTTGTTATTCAATGTGTTTCAATACACAAATAGTTATTTAACTTTCTAGATGTGGAAACTAAGGCCATTTTCCGGGACAGTGAAAACAGTTTATTACTGGACCTTTTTCTTTATGGATCTCTCAGCAATAAAGACTAACAAAGCGAAGAGATGATGATTGAAGGAACCAGTCATTCTTTTGACAATAAATACAGAAATTTTGATGCAAAATACTAAATAATACACTTCACATAAGCAGCCCAAACAAATTGTTTCATATCTGCTCATTTTTATTTCTGCCCAAACACAATGGCTTCAAGTTGTTGTACCTAATTCAAAATCCAAACTTGGTGAAAGATTGCAGAATGGCTTTTTTACTAGAATAAGCTAGCACCATTAAATTTATGTTGGCATCTCTTAATTGCTTGATTAATTGGCTTCCTAGCTGAGTTGGGACGTAGGGCACCCAGAATCACAATACTGACCTCAACAGATCCTTTGAGTATGCCGCATATGCAATGACATTCTTCAGCAAGTGCAAGCAAAAAGAAAGTACCTCTCATTGCGGTTAAGTCGAGCACCAAAGTAGAAGGCCACAGAGAGCAACCAACAGTCATTATGCACAGCCACCAAAGACAGCCAGTCCTTGCGTTTCATTCCATCTCTAGAAAAGGAGCTTTAACATTTGGAGTCCGTAATCACAACTGAAATACCCATTAAGATATCAAAGCAAAAAATAAAGAATTTCCTTTCAGATCATGAATAAAAAGAACCAACAATAACCTAAAGCACACTTAGCCCCTTTCTTATCAACCCACCACAGCCACTTCCCCAATCAAATTGACCATAGTTTCATAGAAAAATCACCTAACAGCAGTTACCCATTTCCCACATACCTCATCCCGCTTCTCCAAAATTGCAGCACAAGCTAAAGTCAAAACCTTTTTCTCTAAAAGGCGCAATCTTGCATTTGCCCTTTAATTCGAAGGAAAAACAACAACGAACAAGAAACCCAAAGTACATGGAGCCTCACCTGGATCGCAGAGCGAGTAGAATTCATCCACATCTGAAACAAATTCACCCCAACACCAACAACGACGTCAAGCCAGAAACAAAGAACTAAAAAGAAACACCGCCGGCGCACACACTGGAACTCGGACCCAGGAAAAAAAGAGAAAAAACACATGCATGTGAAGATCCAAAGAGGGGGGCGACGGCCCAACGATCGGTACCATAGGTGAGGGCGCGGATGAGGGCAGTGCGTCGGGCGCTGTAGCCCTTGAAGATCTCTTCTACAGTGCGAGGACTAGAGAGGAACCACGTCTGGCGAGAAGCGGCGCCGATCTTGTGGAAAGACGAGAGGAGGAAGAGCCGAGGCAGCGAGCTCAAGAGGGTGCGCGTGCGGAGCCCGAACGAAGACGAAGACCGAGGATGTCGCTTGAAGCCTTGAAGCGAAGCCCACCTCCGCTGCGGACGAGCCGGACCGCGGTTGATGAAGACAGAGGAAGAGCCGAGGTGGACGCCGAACGGAGTGAGGAGAGGCAAGAGGGTCTCGTCGAGTCGTGGGTGTGGGGAGTGGGAGAGAGAGCGCAATGGAGGAGCAGCCGAATGAGGGGAAATTTGAGAAGAAACTCAGAAGGTTAGGGTTTGTAGCAGGAGAGAGAGCATCGGTTCCGGTTCCGGTTCGGTTCCGGGTCCGGTTCCTACAGGAATCGGGAACAGGAACCGGAACCGGCGGTACCGGGAACCGGAACCGGAACCGGCGGTACCGGGAACCGGAACCTCTCACCCTAGAACCGGGAACCGAATTGGACCCACCGGTTCGGTTCTTCGGTTCCCGGTTCTACTCTGGAACCGTGCTCATCCCTAACAATGACCTCATATGGCAGTGTAGGTGGGCAAAAGGTGGAGATGACAGGCATTGTTTCTCTCTCTCTCTCTCCATGCATGGTAAGCCAGAATTCATTACACATTAAGAGGTTCAAAAAAGGTGATTTCAAGATAAGGATTGGCAATAATTTATCATTAATTGAGTTGTAAATTTGCTTCAAGTGGGTGTGACGTGGGTTGATGCATCTTCTCGAAATGTGGGGGAATGTCCAGGACAAAAGTATTTGCGGTGATAACTGACCTTCATATACTGTAAAAGTTGATCATAAATAATTATTTAGCAAAATTTGGCAGTCACTTTCAGCAATATGCATCAATCTCCCATTGGTAATGAGTTTATTGGAGTTGCATACTTTTCAAAAGTGAAAAAAAAAAGGAAAAGTTAAGGAGAGGATTAAAATAAAACACCCCCATAAGAAGAGCATCTTCTTTTCGTTCAAAGGAAAATAAATTAGATACACCATGACATTATAAACTCTATTATCACCTAGTATTCTCATTTTGGAGAAAGATTTTATACTTGTATTGGAATTACCAGGAAGATAGTCGCGCTATGTTACGAGGAAAATGAATAACTAAAATACTACATCGATTAATGAAAAAGAGATATTTCATACTTCATAGTAAGAATTAAACATCAAAGATCTAATTATGTTTGTAGTGAGAATTAGTTATATCAGAATATAGCCTAAGGTCCATCTATCATAAGAGAGATCGCTAGAATAGCCTTCCGTATTTCAACCACGTGTCGAAATCCCAGTAATTCTAATCTTTCAGATGAATGGACTTGAATGATGCATGTCAGCTCATACATAATTACTCAATGATATGGGGAAAATTACCCAAAAAGCCCTAAACATATTTCATTTATGTCAATTTAGTCATAAACCTTTTAAGGTGCGAGGTGCGTTTGCTCTCAATTGGCCGACTTGTAAAAAGTTTATAAGACCGAGATGTTTTCTATTGGGTACAACAAGAGTGTTTGGCGAATTGAAGTTACAACCAAGAGGATTGGACCTCCTGACCTCGAGTATGAGATTGACGCTCAAGACCACTTTGTGAACCGAGGGTTAGAAGGAGGAAAAAAATTCTAGGCTTTTTTAAAACTTAATATGAAAAAGGCGTATGATAGAATTGAATGGGATTTCTTGGAAACTTGTTTGCGTAAATTGGGTTTTGGTGAAAAATGGGTTGCATGGGTAATGCGATGTGTGTCTACGATCTCTTTCAGCATAAAATTTAATGACGAACCTCTTCCTTATTTCCAACCTTCCAGAGGGCTTCGACAAGGTGTTCCTCTTTCCCCTTGTTTATTTGTTTTTGTTACAAATGTTCTATCTTTTAGAGGAAAGCAGTCGAGGAAGGCAGCATAAAGGGGATAGAGCTCAATACATTATGTCCCACCTCATCGCACCATCTATTTGCAGATGATTCCATCTTTTCCCTAGATGGAAGAATCCAGGATTGCCTTTCTTTGGCAGAAGTGTTGCATCAGTATTTATTTGCTACTAGACAGGAAATCAATCTAAACAAATTAGGAATCTTTTTCGGTTTAGGTTGTCCATAATCTCTGAGAGCTAACATAACACATGGCTTATGAACTACGTGTTCTTGAATTAGAAAAGACAGGGAAATATCTTGGAATACCATCAGATTGGGGGGTGGGCGGGGCGCGGCGAGACAAAGAAACAAATGTTTGCCTAGATCCTAGGACAAGTGAAAAAGAAACTGGAGGATTGGAAGGAAAAATCAATTTCAAAAGCTGGAAAGGAGATTTTACTAAAAACAGTGGTTCAGGCTGGATCCTAGGACAAGTGAAAAAGAAACTGGAGGATTGGAAGGAAAAATCAATTTCAAAAGCTGGAAATGAGATTTTACTAAAAACAGTGGTTCAGGCCTTACCTCAATATGCTATGTCCATTTTTAAAATTCATGTTTTCATTTGTAAGGTGATAGAACAGAGAATGGCAGCATTCCGGTGGAAAAATAGTGAATCTCACTCAGGGATACACTAGAAGAGATAGGAAATCTTGAAGCAAAGGAAGGATAATGGAGGCATGGGTTTTACAGAGTTACTGTGAACAAAGCTTTCTTAGGGAATCAAGCCTGGAGATTAATGAAAAACCCTTGTTCCCTATGGAGTCAAATTCTTAATTACTTCCCTCGTAGAGATTTCTGGCACACAGAACTTCATGGGGCTGGCAAAGCTTACTAGTGGGAAGAGATGCTATTTCAAATTCAACTATGTGGATTGTTGGATCAGGGGAAGCCATTAGCATTCGAGAGGACAGAAAATTAAAAAGTGGAGTAATAGGAGGGCCAGCAAATAAAGGCGAACCAGTGCAAGTAGCATAGCTTATAAACAAGGAGGAGAATACATGAAACGAATCTCTTCTGCAGAACCGATTCGAAGAAGACACTGTTAAGGAAATTCTCACTATCCCACTGAGAACCCAATCAGTTCGAGACCAAAGGTGGGGCCTAATTCATTAACAGGTAAAGTACACGGTGAAGAGTGGCTATAACTCTCTCAGACTCGAAGAGGACAATCTGAAATCAAGTATGGCTTCTTCCTCCTTCGTGGTTCCTCGGGTTCTATGGAACAGAATTTGGAATCTGCAAACTGCTCCTAAAGTCAGGATCTTTATATGGAATGTATGCCAGAACGGACTCCCCTACCATGGAAAACTTATATAAGCGAAAAATCGTACCCGAAACCTTTTGCTCGCTGTGTAAGAACCATGTGGAAACGAGTGAGCATCTTTTTCTACTACTTCCATGGATGCGAGATGCATGGGCTAATCTGAACCTAAACATTCAAATCTCTCCTTAGGGTTTGAGCAGAATGGAAAACTGGCTTACCCAATTTTTACGGTACTCAGGAAACTTTCCTTCGCTGGAATTGGTGGCCACCACCCTCTAGTTTATGTGGACGTCTCGAAATAATTTCATTTTCAGACATAAAACCCCAAATTCGGAACCAGTACTGCGAGGAGCACTCGCTTCACAAAGCAATTACTGGAGATGATATTCAAAGCAAAATTCGAAACCAATTGAGCTTACCTCTCCACAGATCTGGAAGCCAATTACTGATGGACATGCTTTGTAATGAAGCCTAGTTTATGGGCCCTTCGGTTTTCTCTTAGAAATAAAGAGCGTCAGTTTTGAGAGACCCCCCCCCAAAAAAAAAATAGTGATTTGAATCGGATTGAGATCAAAGCTTGACCTCGTCGGTTCTCCACTGGCGATTGGAATGCGGGTAATGTAAAGCAAAGTGCGACTAATTTTAACTTTGCCAAACTTGCATGAAATTAAAGTTGATTGTGTTTCTGTGGTCCAAAGGGAATTGAAAATCTCTCTCGGCATGTAGAGCTCTTCTCTAGCCTCTGGTGGTAGCTATTGCCCTAACCTATTTGACCCTAAAACCCAGCTGATTAACGAACGTGAATTATGGTTTTCGTGTCCATGCCATACTTCATTTAAATTAATTAATGAAAGAATGATAGGAATCTAATTGGATAAATTATAAGTTTCGGGACGACATCGTACATTAGTCAAAAATCGACCTGATTGAACCACTTAAAAGTGCAAGTATGACCCTACACATCGATAAAAGTTCACAGACAACTAGTATTATTGTGTCTTTCAGCAACAGAAACTACATGTTGTTTACAGTCCGTTTCAAAGAAGGGAAGATATGTCGATCCAATACATCTTGCAAATTCAATTCCTCTTCGCTACGCAAAAAGTTGATAATAGTCGTGAAATGAGATCTTCCCAAAAGCCTTCCTGTAATTATTTTTGGTGCCGCGATTCCAAACTATGAACATCGCACTATTCCTATTACGTTCACAGTGAAGCTAGCTCTGTAGTGAAAATCATAAATCACACGGTTGGGATTAGTGAGAACTAAGAAGATATTCAAAAGGCAATCATCATCATCATTAAAAACAAAACACAATACCACATGAAAAAGTAACTTTAAAACTTACCATTTCTCGTGAATGCTCCAAATTTCGTGACATTGAGATTGCGAAGTTGCTCTAAGCTGACTGCAGAGAATGGCATTTCCATGGGTACATGAACGCGAAGCTCACGCGAGACTTGTCCCATAGTTGGTCGAAGCTGTGGATCGGCTTGCAAGCATGCGAACACTAGCTTGGCGATCAAGACCACGTTTTGCGCATCTCGAAGACGAAGTCTAGAAGGCGAGAGACGTTGATCCAACACATCCTTCAACATCATTAGCGACTCAAATTGGGTAGACGATGAACATTCCCAAGAGATGTGATATCCTGGATGCTTTCCCATGATTGTTTCCAATGCGACGACTCCAAAGCTATACACATCGCATTTTTCGGTACGAATTGTAGAATAAGCCAGCTCTGCAAGTAGAGAATTCACAATTTTTTATAACCTCGATGATAAGCTGTATTCAAGTTAACAACATTGCTTCCCATGACGTGACGATTACAAGTACAAATTTCTACGTAATCTACACTTACAACACTGATTTGATGATAGGAGTTTATGCTTTGACGGAGTTCAAAGAATTTTGTTCGACGCTTAAAGTAAGAGCATATTTAGGTAACACAAACTTAATATCCTTGAAATGGATCGATTATGATGTTTTTCCTCATTTGCCAATTCTTATTTATCGGGGAAATAAAAAAGCTTTCTATCTACACTGAACTTGAAAACTTTGATGGCGTAAACAAATTTCCTTAAGAAGATTAAATGACTAAAGAACTGCACCAAACTAGCAAAATTTCAATTATAAAAGAGATGACTAACACCGAATGTCATTAAAATTGCAAAAATTACGAAGTACCTGGAGCAATATACCCGATGGTGCCAGCGATAGAAGTCCAGTTTGATGAATCCGGCCTCAATAGTCTTGCAGTGCCAAAATCGGAAACATGAGCCTCATAATCGCAATCCAATAGAATGTTGTTACTCGTCAAGTCTCGATGAATCAATGGAGGCGAACATTCATGATGCATATAGGACAATGCATCCGCAACTCCTCGGACCACATTTACTCTCTTGTCCCATTGAAATTCTATTGCTCTTGTGTCATCGTTCAAAGTTGTTCTCAAGCTCCCTCTTTCCATGTACTCATACACCAAAAAACAACGTTGGGCATGAGAGCAGAACCCATAAAATTTCACGATGTTACAATGGCGTATATTTCTTAAGGCTTGAATTTCCCTTCCAAATGGTATCAAATTGACGATTTCACTCTTCCTGAGATGATGAGGTTTGCTTGACAGCAACCGTTTGACCTTCTGATATATCGGCTTTATAAACAATTCCATATGCTCCTTCACCCACATAGTACTTGGAGTCAAATCCTTCCGTGGCCTCGATGATTCGATCATAGAAAACCTTGCCATCATAACTCAAAATACACATAAAATCCAAATCATTTGCCCGTTCATTGTTCTCTCTCTTGATAATCCTTCTTCGGCGGTGATTGATGATTACAAGAACAGTCAAGGTGCAAGAGAGAAGGAGAAACCCCAAGAAGGAGAGAACGAGGACAACTGTGATTCTAGTTCCAATGCATTTCTTGCTCACGGTAGAATTGCATTTCGGTAAACCAACAACATTTCCATATAGCCCTTTGTTATGCTGAATCGCCTCGAATGGAGCCTCAATGAAAGCCTTCACGTTTGGGAGAGGACCTTCCGGGTCATTGTAGGATACATCAATGGAAGTCAAGGCCGACATATCAACAAAAATATGTGCAATAGAACCGGAGAGACTGTTGTGGGAGATATTTAGAACTCGCAGCATTCTTAACTTTCCAAGCTCTCCTGGTATGTTTTCAGTCAACATATTATGACTCAAGTCAAGAACCTCAAGGAATTGTGCGTTGCCTATCTCAAAAGGGATGCTTCTCTGAAATTTGTTTCTGCTCAAGTTCAAGCCCAACAAATTTTGGCATGAGCCTAGCTGCACCAGTATCAATCCGCTCAAATTGTTTGATGCCAAGTTCAGATGTGCCAAATGAGATAAAAGTCCAATCTCAGCCGGGACATTTCCCGTGATTGCGTTGTTGCTTAGATCGAGTTCTAACAACAACGATAGGCTTCCCAATTCCGCTAGAATCTCCCCGCTTAAATTATTTAATGAAAGGTCCAGTCTCTGTAATTGAGCCATCCTTCCAAATATTGCGGGTATCTCACCAGAAATGCTGTTGTTTGATATCATTAAGCTCGTCAAATTATGACAACCCTTCCATTTCCACGAAATTTCACCGTTCAAATGATTGTGGCTCAAGTCCATATAATATAGATGTGGATATACTCCAAAAGCTTCTGTAATGTTTCCAGTAAGTTGGTTTCCTTCTAGCCTCAATCTGATTAATGTGCTACAGTTCTCTAAGCTTGTTGGGATGGGACCCTCGAAATGATTATTGAAGACGGAGAAATATTGTAATGATCCCTCGAGGCATACATCGTCTGGCATTCCCCCTCTAATTCATTATTAGATAGTTCCAACTGAACCAAACGTGTTAACTTATTAAATTCAAAAGGCAAGGAACCAATGAATTTATTGCCACGAAGCCATAATCCTGTCAGATTTGCCAAGCTTCCAATTGATGCAGGGATCCGACCGGTCAAATTATTAAAGGATACATCCAATTGTCTAAGAGATATCAATTTCCCCAACTCTTGTGGAATCGAGCCTGAAAGATTATTTGAGTAAAGGTATAAAATCTTTAGATTGCTCAAGTTCAGCAAAGACGATGGTATTGGACCGACCAAATTGTTCTCTGACAAATCCAATCGTTCGAGATGTACCAATCTCCCAATTTCTTGAGGGATCGAGGATGAGATTGCATTTCCATTGAGGTTAAGAAAAGATAAACTTGTCAGGTTTCGTATTTCTGAAGGAATGGATCCTGACAATCTATTATCAGCTAAGCTAAGAAACTTCAAACTCCTCAAGTCGCATATTTCGTGTGGAATAGAACCAAAGAGGGCATTCCTTGTGATGGCTAATTGGGTCAAGTTGCCCAATTTTGTAAGAGAAGTGGGGATTTGGACCGATCAAATTATGTTGGAAGAGGTTAAGAATAGATAAACTTGTCAAGTTTCCAACAGAAGGAGGTATTGAGCCAGTGAGATTGTTGGATGATAGGTCAAGTTCAACAAGGGAAGTGAGCTTTCCGATTTCTGAGGGTATGGGTCCTGAAAATCCATTTTGCCATAATCAAAGAGCCTTCAAATTCCTCAAGTCACTTATCTCTCTCGGAATTGAACCAGAAATGTTATTCTGCGAAATGTCGAATTCGATTAAATTGCCTAATTTTCCAAGAGAAATAGGAATGAATCCTGAAAGTTGATTTTTCCACAGATAAAGATAATTAAGGCTGCTCAAGTTCCCTAGTGAAGCAGGGATAGAACCGGTGAGAGCGTTTATGGAAAGATCAAGTTTCAAAAGAGAATCCAACCGTCCGATCTCCTGAAGGATGTGACCACTCAGGTTGTTTGCACATAGGGACAAAGAATGAAGACTCTCTAGCATACCAATACTTGGAGGAATGTCCCCGGACAGTTCATTGCCACAAAGGTCAAGAGAGTTGAGTTTGGAAAGGTTACCGACACTTGAGGGTATGGAGCCATAGATCGAGTTGTTGCCAAGTTCCAAGCTAACCACATTGGTTAAGCGGGAGAAGTCAAGGCCGTCCAGAGTACCTCTCAAACCAAGATAGGAAAGATTTAGATGGGCGACGACTCCGTAGTCGTTGCAAGAGACACCAGTAAAGCCGCAAGGACTGTTGCCGTGCCATGAAGAGAGGAGAGATTGGCTATGGTTGTCAAGAGCAGATTTCCAATTCAAGAGAGCTTCTGCTTCATCCTTATTCTCAATCACTTTGACAGTGAAAGAAGAAGTGGATGACGCAAAAACGCCTGCACCATAAAATAAAGTGGTGTCCACCAAGAAAAGCGAGAAGAACAAGAAGGCACCTAAAGGAGAGTGGTGGGACAGCGATAAGGAAGAAACCATGATTTGGGGGATGGTTGGTTTATGAGAGGTAAGATGGTTGAGGTCTCCATGTGGTTAACCAGATTGATGACATACTTATAGATGGAAGATCACTCCTAAAACCTCAGTCGGAGCCA